TTCACTTTCAAAACAAGGAAGATAATTTGCCTTTTTCGCAACTTTTACAGCTACGAGTGCATCATTATGTTTTCCTTCATAAACAACACTAGTTCTACCAACACCAATGGATTGAATCAGATTTACAGTATTATTGTCAAATTTCAGTGATGGTTCGACCCATCCCAAGATGTTCGGAGAGCTTTCCATAATTATTACCAGTAACTTTCACCTAGTATTATCAGCATCGCAAGCACCATTGAACTCTAAAGACGCAGGTATTATATATTGATACGTGAACTAGGTGGTTGGATTTGAATGGGTATTTTGATCTACCCTATGCATTACATAGATATTAATTACAATACTATCTGTTAATAATACATATACAAAGGTTCGACGTGGCTGAAGTTGGAGTACTTTTTTGCCGAATGATATTGCCTGTCCTATTTATGCGCTATTAAAATTATCACTGCCTCATTTTTTTATCTCATCAACGGCAACAACATTTAACATATTTAAATGTGAATCTTTTGAAATAAATAGGAAATCTGGTTTTTGAGTTCCTAGTGATGGTGAAGAATGCTCATCCACAACAATAAGCTTGTTTTTTATATTTGGAGATTTTTCTAGTTCCTTGCATTCGTTAATAAAGTATTGTTGTATTTCTTCTTCTCTTAGATCTGCATTTCTGTTAGGTGGATTTGTAAATCTTCCATTTTCACTTCTTTTGCTACTCGTGGTCCATTCGAGCGGAAACACAATATGTGTTCCTTTATCCATAACAGTTTTACCCTTCTCAGTTCCCGTTAAATCAGTACCTAAACATAAATCGTTAATGGCGTTTGCAGAAATGATTGATGGATCAGATGAATAACATACCTGGTGAATAGATCGCTTCCTCTATAGCACGACATACTTTATTAAAATCCTGCTCTATTTTAAAATCAAGACCTCTAACGATTTCCTTAACTACATCCTTCAGAGAATTTAAATTAAAAAAATCACCTTGTCATGATATAAAAAAGTTTAACATTATTGGTTAGAAAATAAGAAAAGCAGGAATATCCGATATTATTGTGAAAGAAAAATCAAGCCATTTCACGTTCACTCACATTGACTAAATATATTATGACTCACTTACCAGCATCGGGTTGCTCTATAATAACGCAAATGTATTTTTTGGGCGGTTTAACAATAAGAAGTAGGAAAGAAAAGCACAAGAATAAGTAAGTATTCAGTATTATTGGCGAATATGATACAGTGTGAATGAGAATATAACATACCAGACGTAGATATTAAGGACTTCAGGTAATCCCGCTTCTCATCATCCGTTGTGTAGTCAGGAAGAAAAGTCACGACAACATTTATTTGTTCTACGTTTTGAGTGAAGTATTTACGCAAACTGTCTTGCTTATTTGAAGTAAAATCAAGACGATTAATTTCTGTTTTAAGAGTCGTTAGTGCTTCCATTTTGGTATTACAAATTGCTTAATTCGAGAAAGAAATTTTTTTGGATTATGTGGGTATATATGAAAAATCGATGTCATACAGATTGATCTGACATTCTGACTCATTAGTTAATTAGTAACGCAACTGACTTAATACAGATATCTGTCACACCAGATTATAAAAATTACATCTTACAATACTTTATATAAAAAAAGTGCTAAACTTTGAGATCGTGACGTGCATCACAGTCTCAGAATTTCATAATTTTTACATATTAGGTGATAAGTGAAAAGAATATTCACGGTATTTTATTAATGAGCGATGAAAAAAATAAATACAATAGCTTGTTATACACGATAATAATAAGATTTATAAATTATGCTACTATTGCGAATTTGAGTTTATTGCTTGAAGTGTTGCAGGTAAGACAATATTCCAACTTATCTTGAGAATAGAACTTCGCTAATTCAGGATCATAAGGGAGCTGATTCCTATTTTCGCAGTACCATAAGTCATGTAATCCATAATTCCCATATTTTCCATCGCAGATAGGGCATGATGAGCTCCACGGCTGAGGTGATGTAAAATCATAATTATCAATCCCTCTGAAACTATTTCCGAATTTCAAGTATGAGAAGTGCTCTAAGACAGATTTGATAATTAATTCTGGATTGGGTTTGGCTTCGAAGGTGATAGGCTTGAAATCAAAGGCTTGAGATTCTGCTGACATATTTATCATAACTTTTGGTAATTGTCATGGCTCATTTCCAGTTTTTTTCTTATATGTTTTATATAATTTGGAACGAATTTTATCTGTCAAAATGCTTGGTAACCCACTTAATTTAGCATGCCAATCTAGATATTCAGGGGTTAATACTTTATCAGACTTGATCATATTGTCTTTTTATATGATTGCAAATCAATTTAAATTAAAGTAAATATAGTCGACGTAGATTAGCCCTGTAAAAAAATAATTTTTCAAGAGAAATGCAAATATATAGTATTGTAAAATATTGAGATTATGCAGTTATCTCAATTTCACACTGTTCACACTTAATAAAATAGGATCTGGTTTTATATCTACTTTCTATGCTTTCCTCATCATCATGACCTAACTTGCATAATGGGCAGGTCCTAGAGGGATCGCATAATGTCTTATCAGTAATGCTATAATAATCAAAGTCTTCACTACTATATTCTCTATATAAGTTGGGATATTGATCCAATGTCTTATTGCGAAAATAGGATCAGTCATAAGTTAGATTAATCCCAGAAATTGATACAGGTGATACACTTGCTTGAGGTGTGACTGATGTAAGATCGTTATCAATGGTAACAGTTTTTGAGAACACATGACTCTGATCGTTACCAATGGTAATGGTTTTATGAACTCGATCGTTCACATAATCTATAATATTTTGAATTTAGGTATTGGTTAATCTAGAAATATCACTTGC